AATTTACAACACTACCTACGACTCCTACGACAGCATAAACAATCTCCAAATAACCACACTAATTTACAACACTACCTACGACTCCTACGACAGCATAAACAATCTCCAAATAACCACACTAATTTACAACACTACCTACGACTCCTACGACAGCATAAACAATCTCCAAATAACCACACTAATTTACAACACTACCTACGACTCCTACGACAGCATAAACAATCTCCAAATAACTAATTTTTGAATAAAATGTGGGTTTAAATTGATATCAGAGAACCAAAGAAAGAAAAGTAGAATAACTAAAAATGCGCAATTAAAAAATAATTAATAAAGATAAAATTTGGCATTATCTTAGTAAAGAGCAGAAAATTTGAAATCCTTCTTAATTATTCATATTGATAAGAAATCAAATAATAATATGATTTCCTCAAACTTATTTTTTTAATCTCTCTAATCTGCATGATTAAAAGGACTGCAGGCGTAATTTCAATAGTTTCCAGGTATAGACTGGGATGTCCGATTCACCATAGTATCCTTAAACGCTATACGGCTAATCAGGAATGCAGGAGATATTCAAAATTATCTCATTAAAAAATGATTATTTAATTGTGGTTAGTAGGAGGAGAATGTCTAAAATAACCATGCTTTAAGCTAGAAAAATGACGATATCTTCCATATTATTTCCATATATGCCTGCACTTGTAGTTTAGGTTAAATTCAAATTACAAGTCCAGCCCCTTTAATTACCTATCTTTTCTAATATCGAACTCTAGAATAGAACCAGGATATTCATCTTTCCTAAAAAAAAATTCATGATACAATTATATTTTTAAAGAGACTAATCTCGCAAAAAAATTTCGATGGTACAAACATTAGTAAAACATTGAAGAGTAATAATATCTATATAAGCAAATTCCTTTTGTTACAATATGGGAAATTATGTTGTTTTTTTTTAACCATGATTATTCACTAGTCACTAGTTAGTCCTGTCAAAAGTGTGGAATTAAATTAAAAATTAAGATCACGCTTAAAAGCATTTTGTCCTGCAAATGATAACATCTGTTTGGTGGATATACAAATATATTTAATTAAAATCTGGCAAATATATTGAAGCATGAACCTAATATCAATTACAGAAATGGTATGATTACGGAAAATTCTTGCATTAGCCCATTTAATTCAATTTTAAATTCACTAAGAACAAGATTTTATGAATAGGAGAAGCTATTTAAACTATAACTCTGAAATAGGAAGACGACTTTATAGCAATACTCAATTCAAGTGTATTTAATGTTGCTAAAACGCATAAAGTTTTTTCTAGCCACTTATTAAATCTCAAATTAAGTGAAATATGTCTGTTTAGACTGCACAATTACTGTTTCCAATGCATATTGAACTATTTCAAGTCATAAATTGAGTCTAAAAATCGTCTTTCTATTCCAGAGTTGATTGGTTATCACTGTAGATTAATTTAAACCTTTTTACTTCAGCTTGACACAGCTTTTGAGGGTACCATTGTAAATCAAGCAATGCAATCTTTATATGGAAGGTCACATGAAATTACACTTACAGTCCCTTTAAATAAAAAATCTACCTTCGTCCAACTCCACATTCATAACTTCCTCCGCTCAGCAGTATTCTATTGTCCAGAGTCACAGCTTGAGGAGCTTAACAAAATAGAAATTTTTACTAACATATTTATTTGGCAATATTTAAAAGAAATTCGTGGCGCGTACCATAATCGTAAAATATTATACATCACCATTCATGGCTCAACCGGGGAAACGATTTTTTGGTCCGTTTTTAAACATTCAAAGTTTTTTTTTACTTTTAAGAGGCTCCCAATGTATATCTTCTATCTATTTTATTAGTTTTTTTAATCGTTCAGTAAAATTGTTAGTTTATTTAAAAACGATATTTTTTTCAAAAGTTTGTTCCAAAAATCGTTAGTTTGTAAAAAGTGGTCTTTTTTATTTCTCTTTTTTGGAGGGGTTTTTAATGATTTTTTTAAACGATGTTTGGTTTGGTTGTTTTTGTTACATTGTCAATGCACACCATAAAGGCTAACCTTTTAAACAAGTGTATTTGAGCTTTTAAATGTCTTCTTCCATATGCCGTATTAGAACTTTAAGACTTTTTGCAGTTTATTTAGCTTGAAAAAACTTTACTCAAATATATTTTAATTAGAAATCAATTTTACTTTAATATGGATGCCATGAAATACTTATTATAATTCTCTTTGGCAACAAATAACTTCACATACTATGGAAGAAGACATTTTAAACTATTCACCAACTGTCATGTTTTTACCTAATCTTGGTTGAGGTAAAGGAGCCACATATTTCCATGTTTTCTCACCGATTACTAGAAAAACTTAGTTAAACTTAAACCTAATTATTTTTTTAACCATGTTATTATAGAAGAAAGGTAACATACAGGGTTACAATCTGAAACTCCCTTAAATTATGACGATTTCTATGTTCAATTAAATCTTCTGCCTGCAATATAGTCTTTAAAGGGCTTATTTAATGATTTTTCAATGAGTGAAACCTGTTTTTAGTTGCAAGGAGTTATGAATATAAGGAAACAGATATTATAAATTCCGTACAATAGTCTCTGAAATCTCGTTCTTTGCGGGTAACCCTGTAGATCGGGGGAAAACAATCGTCTTTTACAGTTCTTATCAAATTTCATATCTCATTGATTTTATTGTTTTGATTATTCATTTGATTTAAGCTATTTATTGTTATCATTATTAATTGATTTATTAAGTTTGGTAAAAATAGTATTTTGTTTTGATAAATCTATTTTCATATTTATGCAAAATTTATTTTCAAGAAATTATTACCAAGCAGTTCTACTGAATCTAGCTCTTGGCCTGGATCTCCTGTAAGCGCAGAGTAGTTCATAAAAGTTACAAAATAGTGTCGCCAGGTGTCCCATCATATTTTCCGAACACAGCTCAATAATAGCATTATAAAAATCTATTCAGGTTTCAACATACAGCACATCTTCGCGCTAAATTATTTTCAGTTAAACACAAAACTCATGTTGTAATTCTATTAAACTAAAATTCACGAATTTCCTCACAAAGCTGTAGATAAATCGGACTCACTCTTCAAAATACAAAAGATTACTTTGAAAAAGACAAGCAACCCTTTAAAACAAAACGCCATCCATGCAACATATTTCTCAGAAATATGGCAATAACCAGAAAACTCTGATATAGTAAGACTAATGTGTTTTTTTACGGTTTTTATAAAGCAAAAAGTTTTAAAGACACTTGTTAAATCACTAATTAAGTGAAATGAGTCTGCTTTCACTGTGCAATTGCTGTGTCCCAAGCTCATTGGATTATTGCAAGTCATAATTTGAGTCTTCAAATCGTCTTCCTATTACAGAGTTTTCTGGTTATCACCGTATAAATATCCCCATCTGTGTTCACAGTTATTCTGTGCCTGAGATGCGACCGCCAGCAACTAGAAGAGCCTCCCTTCCATCTACAGATAGCAAAGTACAAGCATGGGTCCACCTTGATAAAATAAATGCGAAATAAAATGCGGGGGTTCAATCATTTTTGAAAAAAAATCTGCCACGGATTAATTTTGTCTAAATTCTTTTAAAGTTCCTCAGCCGGGAATTTTAAATTAATTTTAAACTTTTAGCTCATGCTTTGTTGATTTAAACCAAAGCTTAGAGTTTCTTATTGGTTGGGCAGAAAATTTTTCAATATTTTGGTTTTTTAAATTAACAACAAATTTGAACTTAATAGTGTGCTTATTTTACATGGCCCATAGATAACCAACGTTGGAAGTACAAATGTACAAATGTCAAATATAAAAATCATTCATATATTAATATCTCCGGTAATTATGAAAGCAAAAAAATAGCAAACAACATTTTGAAAATGGCGGGACTAGGGCTATTCCGTGATTATTGTTTCATATAAAAATATTGCTAAAATTAGGTTACCTTTGTTGAATGCCGCAAACTATTTTTAATTTCAAAGACGACTTTGTAGTCATAAATCAACTATTCCGGGTTATTTAGAAGAGGACTGTATATGAATACAGACATAATAGTTTTTACGAAAATTTGTTAAGCCCAAGTCATCCAGAATCATAAAAAGTCAAATCAGATCTGGTTTTACTAAAACTGAGCCTAGCTTAAGCCTACATTTTAGATCAGGCAATAAGCTTGTGTATGAACAAACACCTAATCAAGATTTTTCTTGGTTCTTTATTGTTTAAAATCTCAGCTCTGATCACAATTCTCAGTTTTGTTGCACAAAATATCAAATTATAGAGAACGAATTATAAAAATAGAAATTAAGACCTTGCTTGAAGAAGGTTTGGTAGTAATTCCTGTAAACCCCGTTCCATATCATAAACCTCAACTGAAACAATAACATTATATTCTGGGAAAATGAGATGATAGAGTCTGAAACTTAAGATAGATTATCGTAATGAAACCCAGTATCGGAAACACGATTTCATGAATGGGGTGAGACACTTTTGTAAATACCAATATTTTTGTTAAGAAATATTATTTCATGTGGTTTCTTCACATTAATACATTCTCTTTTTGTTTTTTGGAGTTATACAAATGAATAGACCCCAAAAAAAGGAAACCCGGGAGTTTCGTTCAATAATACTCTCTTAAATTTCCGACAAATCTAGAGTGTACGTACTGTACAGTGTGCAAGCTGTACTGTACTGCAAGTTTACCTGTGTTTAATGCCTCGCCTGTTTTCCCGGCGCTATCTTGTCCCCCAGTCAGCACCATGCGGCCATTATTCAGAACAATAGCACAGTGCTTTAATTTAAAATTATTATAAAGAGTTTCTTTATATTACTCGTTATCCACAAAGACTTTAGACGACTTATTAACTTATTACTTTCTAAAGAGTTAAAAGTCGTCATTTAATTTACATTATTTTTGGGTAACTCTAAATGTAATATTTGATCAGAGAAAGTCATTTGTTGAAGTATTAAATGAAAGATTAGTAAAAGAGGCGGTGCATGAGTAATTTGTTCCTAAAATTACTTTTACTACACAGTAATTGATTTATATCGGCAAGTCTTGTACAGAAATATATTAGAGGGGCAAGGAAACTTTACATTTTTCAAATTGACACACAAAAAATAATTTACGAAAGATGTACATTTAAAAATAAACAATAACCTGATATCTTTCCCAAGACATATCATGAGAATATTTCCAGGAACCTTTTAATAGAAAAATTAATGTTTATCGACGTAGAGGAAACTATTTAAAAATATTAAATATAACATTTTTATCCAATGGAGAGAAAAAAAAGTTTCAAACTCTATTTTCTACTTAACCTGAGGCCGAATTTAAACCTCGTCGCTGAACCACCAAAAACCGGTTCCAATCGATTGCCGGCTCAAATCTTGAAACACGAGAATTTAATTTCAAGCGGAACCGACTATGTTTGAGCCGCATCTCAAATTTGAGACACATCTCAAATTCTTTTAATTCGGCCTCTGATAGAATAGACTTTTGATATAAACTTTGTATTACAGTTTTGTCCGTTCAGAATTAAAAATTTTGACCGACAGAATCAGTTACACTTATAATATTCTCTTTCTAAGAAATTTTACCAGTTTTTATTGAAGTTTTAAATTGACTGTTAACTTCATACAACATAATTAAAATATTGCATTTAAAGGGACTGTAAGCGTAATTTCAATTGACCCTCCATGGAGGGAAATGACAATGCACGATTTACAATGGTACTCTTAAAATCTTTGTCTGATTAAGTATGAATTAGATATCCATGTTTTCGTTTTTAGAAAATGATTTTTTTTTATTTTGGGTTTCTAGAGAAATTTTCACAATTAAACACTTTTTGAAACAGTAAAACGACGTCAGTTTACATTTTTTATAAGAACCTGCAGGTTTTAAGGGTACCGTTGTAAATCGGACATTGTCATCTCTGCATGAAGGGTTGAAATTAAGCTCAAAGTACCTTTAAATTCGAAGTTTGATAAAAATAAGTTGTTATTTTATCTATGGTAATTTTCCTCTTAAAAGGAAGAATATTATAAAATATTAACTCTATAAGAATGCGTCGAAAAATAATTGATGACTTTAGGTTGTAATATCTGAATGATTTGTTTGAAATTAAATTGATTTTTTACGATCCAGGTTGAATATTGCAACTTTCTGAATTTGTATGGACGCTACGTTCTTCAGTATAAGTCGTTTTTAACAATTTTTTCCTCATAGACGAAACAGATAGAAGTAAGAATAGTAGCGATTAAAAGCGATTATTTTTCGACGTAAGCCTATACCCCCTTTCATTTTTCGCAAACACTCCCTTCACTATGTTTATTGTTAGCGATAGATCTTACTTTTATCATGACCTGAAGACAAGTCCAATACTTCAGTTGATTCCTGCTTGAGTTTACCATTCCACCCACCTGCAGTAAATTTACAGTAATTCTCAAAATAGTTCAACGTAAGTCTATAGAAATAATATTATGCGCACTTATAATATGTATGATTTTCGTAATTAATAATATTATTATTTTATCATAAATTTTATAATTATTTTAACTCTTATCATTAATATTTTTGTAGATTTATTTCCTATATTAGAATTAGAATATATTTCTAAATTATGATATATTAACAGTGTTTTAATTAGGTTCGCGCAAGAATGCCGCAAACTAATCCCAAGACGCCATGTTATTATCTGCAATAGTTGTAGATGGTTGGGTTAAGCCATTATATTCAATTCAGTTTACCTGACACCCAGACTTTTTGATTTACAACTACAGCTTCGGAGTAACTTCGACCAACATTCGTTCTAGAAATTGTTTCTATATATTTTAAAGTCTGGAGTTTGCCCCCCTCCCTCCATCCTTTACTGTCTAGTTTTTTTATCCAATTCCCTACATTGAAACTATCCCATGAAATGTTTCACTTTTAAGAATCAAACCTTTTACTTTTTATTTCGCATACAATTTTTAATTTAAATTGCTAGGTCAGGTCCAGGGTACAATAACCCGATAACTCGTCGTTTGCTGATTTCTTTCAACTAAAATCTTAAATTAAGTATGCATAAATTATTCACAACGATTTATTAATTTCCCTTAATTTATAATGAACAGAAATATGGAAATCAAATCTACGAAATTAACAAGCAAATTGTGGTTTTCAGCAAAATATTTATGTGGTCTGAGCTGAAAACTTTAGAATTGTGGATATCAAGGTCAATACTTGATCTCATCTTGTTATTAATCTTAAGATTGATTTAATCTTTAGTTTGTATCCTGGAAAGTTTGTAAAATCTAACCAATCAATAAGAGAAATCTCATTGGTTGAAATTTAGCAGGGATTTTCAAAAGAGAGGATAAAAAAGAAAATCAAAAGTGTAAACAGTCAGTGAATTCGCAATTAGGATTAAGGGTATCCAATTCAAAAGTTTTCAGCTCTGATTTATTATAAAAAAATACGCAAAATACTAACTCTGGTCCTCTTTCCCAGCGGTTGTCTCCGTCCAGATTCCAAATCCAGCACAGAGATTTATCATCGGAGGACCGTCCTCCACAAGTCAGAATTCTAAAATTAAAAATTAAATTACCAAAAAAGTTGAAATTGCACCCTCAACCAAAAATAAAGGCATTAGAATGTGTTTGTACAAAAAAATTTTAAAACGTAAGATTGGTGCATTTCTTGTTTTCAAATCAAACTATAGATTTACATAACTGAAAAATGATGATCAAACCTATGATCTATATAAACTAAAAATCATGATCAAACCTTTGATTAAAATATAAACTGAAAAATGATTAAACCTTTGATTTACATAAACTGAAAAATGATCAAACCTTTGATTTACATAAACTGAAAAATGATTAAACCTTTGATTTACATAAACTGAAAAATGATTAAACCTTTGATTTACATAAACTGAAAAATGATTAAACCTCTGATTTGCATAAACTGAAAAATGATCAACCTTTGATTTACAGAAATTGAAAAATGATTAAACCTTTGATTTACATAAATTGAAAAATGATTAAACCTTTGATCTACATAAACTGAAAAATGATTAAACCTTTCATTTACATAAACTGAAAAATGATCAACCTTTGATTTACATAAATAGAAAAATGATTAAACCTTTGATTTAAATAAACTAAAAAATGATTAAACCTTTGATTTAAATAAACTGAAAAATGATCTGCCAACCAAATCGGTAGGTTCGGACCAGCACAAGTTGTTTCCTCGTCAACTGAACAATATATTGTAAAAATATATTTTAATTGTAAAAATATATTTTAATTGTTAAAATATATTTTAATTGTAAAAAAATGAAAGTTTCAATTTATAAATGGATTTTATTTCATTCTTATTCTTTATTTGTTTAACTTTCAGTTCAATTTTCTAATTGGGAAAAATCGATCGTGTTATATGACAATATTAAACAAAGTTTTAAAAAATATGGGCGCTTTCTTTTGCGTAATTTATTCAACAATATTGTGACTCACTTATAGCCAAAAAAGAATCCCAGAATCCCAGAAAACAATTTTATGAATCATTCTTAAGAACCGTTCTACAAATTCTTGTACATTTTATAAAAATGACTTTTAAAAGTTTAATTACAAAGAAACATTTTGGAACAACTTTAAGGTTATTAAAATATTTTCTCAAAGTCTGGTCCCAAAAAATCTCTGAAATTTGTCATGGTTTCTTGAGAATTTCCATGAAACCAAATAGATCCAGGGTTCTCAAAATATTCCCGAGAAATTTTCGAAAAAAACTTTTTTTAAACTTTCCTTTTTTAGATAAATTTTACCGATTCACCGACAAAGGGTCAAACGACCCAGGGTCAAACGACACAGGGTCAAACGACACAGGGTCAAACGACAATGGATTAGTTTATTGTAT